AAATAAATAAAAAAAAATTAAAAAAAAATAAAATAAAGGGAGAGCTCACCAGGAATGGGTTAAAGGAATGCTGTTCTAGGTCAGGGAGAGATGAGGGACTAAGGAGTAGAACAGAATGGGGACCCTGAAGCTTCCCTTCTCTGTGGAGCCTGGCATACGGGACAGGCTCTGGGGCCACTCAATAAGCAAGAAATTTGGTTTGTACCAGGGATCAAACTCAGAACCTTCTGCTTGCCAGACAGGCGCTTACACCAGTGAGCAATCTCCCCAGCTCTGTCAATAAACAGAGCCAGGAAAGATGGCCATAAACGTAGGGCAGGATCAAAGTGCTTCTTATCAAAACAAAACAACAACAACAAAAAAAACAAACAAAGCACTCCTTATCTCACACTAGATGAACACATTTGGCTATCATATGCTAATTGGCTTAGTCATCTATAATGTGTGCATAGATTTGAACATCGCTCTGTGATGTTCAGATGTTCCCAAAGTGTCACTCTGTGTAAATGGATGAATTTTGTCTGCCAGTTATACTTTCATAAAGCTAGGAAAAATCAGCCTCAGGCGAGTGAAGTGTGAAGAACAGAACTTTGAAACTCATGATGGCAAATACCAGTGAATATCTATTAGACCTTAAGCTGAGGAAGTCTGGTAAGGACATACTCTGTGCTAACAAAGGAAGCACTAATTGATGTGGCCACATTAAAACTGAGAAACTCTAGGGACCAGGGAGATAGCTCAGTTGAATAAGCACTTGCCTGGCAAGTGCAAGGGCCTGAGTTCAGTTTCTGGTTCTGCCAAAAACAAAAACAAAAACAAAAACAACAACAACAACAAAAAAACCAAAAACCTGAGAAACTCTTTTTCAACAGAGGACACCTGCAGGCAGCTTCCCCCAAACTGCAGTTCAAGAGGTCAGAACCATTTTTATTTTTATTTTTTTGGCAGTACCGAGGATTGAACTCAGGACCCTGCGCTTGCCAGGCAGGCGCTTATTCACTAGCTGTCTCCCTGGCCCCCAGAACCATCTTTATAACAATATTTGAGACACCCTTTTCCCTTTTCACCTTCCTTCTCCCGAGCCAACAGTGAGGAGGTTTCCAAGGCCACATGATGTGATATTGCAGCAGCCTCAACAAAGTTTCATTCAGTGTCCAAGGCCACTTCTCCCACACATGGAAGTGTCCTCCAGCTGCCACCAAGGACAAAGGTGGGGGCCCCAAGGGCAGCCCCACTGAGGACAGTCCAGCACATTCACAGGCCAGCTCAAGCGGGCCACCGACTGCAGGAACCAAGGTAAACAGGTAACCACAAAGGTACAGCAGAGAGGGAGGGGCGGGTTTTCCCAGCTCTTACCTCGAAGGTATTCCCAGTCAGGTCGAATTCTGGGGGGACAAAGGCGCCCTCAGGGTCATCTTGGGGAAGAAAAAAGAATGTGTTTTGATCACATCCACAAGGAAGGGAGAAAACTACCACCTATAGCTCAGTCCCTCAAACCCTCATGAATGAATGTCCAGGTCCTCAGAGCCAAGTCCCCTCTCTCCCTCCCCTCTCTCTGGGCTGGGCATCCCTGAAGATGGTTTTAAGCAGCTGAAGAGTCAGAAAGGGCACCATAATTTTAAATGTAGAAAACTGACTTCAAATGGAAGGAGAAAAACACTTTGTTTGGCTTCCCAAAGAAGGACAACTGAAGGCTACCACTTGGGATAATCCCATGTGTCACACCAGGCTCTCAAGAGAAAGAGGTGGCTGGCCCACTGTGGCCAGGTGAGCCTCATCTGTGATTCGCGGCAGGCCAGGAGGGGAGACAAGGAGCCTTGACCTCCCTCGGGGTTAGAGCTAGGGTTAGGGCTGCGGCCCGCACCAGCCAAGGCCCTCCTGGGTCCTCTGAGGGCACGTGCGGCAGCCTTGGGGAACGGGAGACACATGGCTGGCACAGCTCAGGGTCTGGCCTGCCTTGCATCCCGCGGAGCCTCAGCCTGAGGGCGCCAGCAGGCTCAAGGGAACCCCGGGCCCTGGGCATGTGTCCTGCGTCCTCTCAGCTGCCTGACGGGCGGCTTCCACCAAGCTGCACCGCCCCTCGGGCCTCACCACTGAGCTGCTCCATGAAGCACACATTTCCGCTGGTGTTGAAGGCCAGAGTGTCGGGTGTGATGCACAGCGTCTGGAAGATGGCAGAGTGAGCGATGCTCCGCATGGACAGGCTGCACTCCAGGCACACAGCCCAGGCTTCCTGCTCGCTGAGGCCGCTGTCCCGCAGGGAGAGGATGTCAGCCAAGGATACGTTCTCCTGCCAAAGCACACCTCCACGTAAGCCCGGAGGGGCCTCCCCCAGGCAGAGCCCTGCACCCCACACTGAAGCTGAACCTGTGGGCGAGCCACCCTATGAGTCAGGAGAAGGGTTTCAGGCAGGGCTTTTAAAAGCAAGAGTCGCCCCGCTGCTCCCTGGATGCCAGAGCCATCCAGCAATGGTGGAAACGCCAGTGTGCTGCCAGAGCAGGTGTCTGCTCATGTAGCGTGGGGGTGGAGCCGCCTTCCCTGGAGGCTGGCTGAGAACTCGAGCCCAGACTCTCACCCACTCAGGGTGACCCCACAGCATGCTGCGGCTGTGAACACAGAAGCCACAGGCACCTGTGGAGAAGGTCGGTGCCTACAGAACATGCCTCTGTGCACAGGAAGCCTTCAACGGGCAAATGTGCACAAGCGTTCGGCCTAGTCACACGATACCTAATTCCATGCGTCTCACATGCTTGCGAAGCTGCCCACGTGCTAGCTGCAGGCAGCTCACGTGGAGGCTGCAGTTGATGGCAGTTCCTCCTGTTCAGCCCGACTGCTTACCTGCGTGGCTCACCACAGACCTCCACATGGGTTCTGTGACTTCAGGAGGACTTAGCTGTGAGTACGACGGTCAGTCCCAACACCCACACACATGCACCCGTGTAACAGATGCACACCCACACACATCCCCATACAATCATGCGGTTCACACATATATGGACCCACTTGCCATGTTCCTATTTGCACACATGTGCACACACAGAGACACACAACCCTCTGTACATGCATGCACCTAGTGACGCACTTCCATATGTGTACCTACATACCAAGACTCATCCACAGGCATGCACATGTTCCCAATGTGGCTGCACATTTTCATGTACCCTCACTTATGCGCACACACTCACACAACAATAGTGACTTTTTTTTTTTTTGAGACAGGGTCTTGCTATGTAGTTCAGGCTACCTTCGCTATGTAATCCAGGTTGACCACAAACTCACAGCAATCCTCCTGCCTCAGCCTCCCAAGTATTGGGATTACAGGTAAGCACCACCACATCTGGCAACAGCCTTTTCTTGTCTGTTTGTTTGTTTGAGACAAGGTCTCACTGCATAGTTCAGGCTGCACCCTAACTATATAGCCCAGGCTGGCCTTGAATTGGTGGCAGTCCTCCTACCTCAGTCACCCAAGTTCTGGGATTACACGCATGCAACACCACACCCGGCCAACCACTCTTAAATACACACTCCACAAATACACACACAACCTTTCACTTATTTCCAGATGTATAACCATATTTATATGCACATAGCCTGTCACACACATCCATATAACACTATATGAACCACACTCACACGTAACATCACTGTACTTTCTCAGGCACATGCGCACACACTCATACATACATGCTTCTACAATGTACAGTCCCGTGTTCATACATTCATGAGCATAGATGTACACGTTACATCCACACTCACAAGCGCACAGTTGCTGTCACATGTACGTAAGCACTCAGACTCACACACATCAGACACCCTGGGATTTCAGTCCTCTTCTGGTCTACCGTCCCTGGACTCCCGCAACTCACTGCCCCTCGTACAGGACAGGGTAGGAGATTCCAAGGGAGGTGGGCTGGAGTTGGGGTCAGCAAAGGATGCGGACAGCCCTCAGAAAGTGGGAACAGGGTGAGTGGCTCCTGAAGGGGCAGCCCCCACCTTTCCTCCAGCCTTGGCTGAGCCTTGCCCAGGACAGCCAAGCGGCCAGGTCCATCTGCGTCTGGGACTGCAAAGAGTGCCCAGAAGCACAGATGAGGGGACAGAAGGCTCAAACCCACCAAGCAGCCCGCCAACAAACAGAATCACCCTCCCTGTGTAGAACTTGGCTGAGTTTCTGGTTCTGCTGCCTCCCGCGTCACTGGCCTATCTACCTGTCTACTTCCCTTTCTGAGTCCAGTGATGTCACTTCCCCAGGCCTCTGTCTCTTTCTGTGGTGGGAAGCTCCCTGGTGTGCTCCTAAGGCTGTCTGGTTGATAAAAGCCTTTCTGATGTGAGCTCAACCCTGCAGCCTCTACGCACCAGCCAGGGCCGCTCAGGACTCGGGGAAGCCTGACGATCTCAGTAGTGCCTATGAGACCAGTTAAAGATGTGCACACAGATGCATTCCATGCCCCACACCTGCACACACACACACATGTGGCTTACACACGTGCCTTCACAATGCACCTATACACAAGCACATAACACAGTACACATAGGTGTGCATGTGTGTTTACCACAGACTTGCAAGCAAACAAAGGCACACACTAAGTAGGGTAAACCCCCACAGCCCCACGTGTCTGTGACATTCAGGAAAAGGAAGCCAGCTCATAATGTGCTCCTGAGCCAGTCCTAGCTCCACAGCAGGGCCTGCCAACACCCTGCTGGCTGCTGCTTGCACTGGCCAACAGGCCCGCCTGCTCTCCCTCTTCCCCCACAGTGGCAGAGTGTGCCGCCAAGACACAGGACCCATCAGGCAAGCTTGTGGCTCTCAGCACCACCTCCTGCTCAGGCCCAGGAGGAAGGTGCTCCTGAGGGCTGGGAGCCTCAGCTGGTCCTTCTGGCAGCTAGACACCCGCAGGCCCCAGAACCTATGGGGAGAGGTCTAAATGTGGAGAAGCAGAAGCCCTGGAGATTCTGAGTTGCTCTGGGGAGAATGAGGAGGGCCCCTGAGTCACTGCTTTGGCCAGGGCTGAAGCCTCTGCAGCAATGGGACTATCTCAGTCTCCGGGCCTCTGCTTTCCCAGGCAGCATCCAGCCCCTGGTACCCTGTTGCCTCCCCTTATCAATCACCAAGGACTCCAGGTCCCAACATTGCACCCTCTGGAGTCCACAGTTGCCCCTGTCACCTCCCCGCTCAAAGCCAGGTGTGAGGAATGACTCTCCTGTGCGAAAATACATGGCAGCTGAAGTAGGCAGGTGGGAGTGTAGGATGAGCTTTGGCTAAGGTGCCAGGGACAAGGATGACAGACCAGGCGGGATGTGGGCAGTGCATGCCAGCTGCTCAGCCTTCGTCCGTGTCCCCTTTCTCAGTTCAGCAGACACCCCACAGCCAACACTGTGGACGGAAGCCCACCCTGTAGTTCTGTTCTTGCCTAGAGAAAAGGCCCCTCAGGGACCTGTGGTTCTCAGCCTCACCACTAGGCCGGTCCAATTTCAGCCTGCTTGATGGGCTCTGTGGGCTTGACGGACCACAGCAGACATTTCAGAGGGAGGCGATGTGCTAGGAATAGAAAACCAGTCTTGGCTCCAGCCGAGGCCCATCTGCACCAGGGCCCATCCACCAGCACACACGAGGACCCCACAAGACTCCCTATGCTGAAACGCCCTCCAGCTCTGCCAACACAGAAGGCCTGCACTACCAGCCAACCTCAGGTGGCTCCATCTGCCAGGATGGCCCCAACTCTACTCCCTGGGCAGGTGAGGGGGTCCTTTACATTCCAGCCTACCCTTACTCTGCCCAGCAAGGTGCTGCCCACACTTCCCAGGGCCACCCAAGCCATGCTCCCTGAAGGCCGGGAGAGAACAATTGTGTGGTGCACTTCGAAACTGGGGGGATGTGGGAGGGCAAATAGGTGAGACTCCTAGAGCAGAATGCTTCCTAGAGCAGTGGCACTTTAGTTCATTCCTGGGCCCCAAGCGAGGGGAACCCTTACCTGGTTTCTACAGAAGCCTGTTTAAGGGCTTCTGACAGACTTTGAGCTGGGGTGGCAGAGGTCCTAAGGTCATTGTGCACATTCCAAATGTATTTCTCAAAACTACTTAACTTTTTAGCTGTGGAATGTCCTAAAAGACCTGCCACCACAAAACTAAAGTCATTGCTAGGGGCAGGAAGATCCCTAGGGCCCTGAGTTGCCAGAACCCCAGGCCTGGGGAGCTCCAAACAGTATCCTCTTGGTGCATCTGTTTGTGGTTGTTCCACTCTGCGAAGCTCTCCTGAGTTTCAGGCTGCCTTCTACCCATTTGGGTATAGCTCACAGGGCCCCTCAAGGGCATAGGGAGAAAACCCTCTCTTCACAGATGTCCCCAGCTGTGGACCCCACCCCTCTTCAATCCCCAACCTCAGTCCAGAGCCCATCCCCATAAGCTTTCGGGGAGATGCTTGCTGGGCCTGCGGGTGAGAATGCTCTTGACCCTTGGGAAGGAGGACAGGAAATGCCCCATCTGGCATTCAAGTGGCACCATCTTCACCTTCCAGCCTGCTCTGGTTTGCAAGGCTGAAGCCCACAGCACCACCTGCCTCTTGCCTGGGTAGCCTCCGGGTGTGTATCTCTCTCTCCTGCTGACACGCTCCTGCTCACGTCCTATCATGGTGTTCTGCCCGTGATCTTGCACCTCCTGTCCATGAAGGCTGAAATTCTGTGTGAATCCTGGAGGGACACTTCTTTCAGAAAGCCCACCTTGTTCAAGGGCCTGGGCAGGACAGCTCCACTTTATACCCAGAATCTTCTGCTTGTGCTAACCCAGTGGTACTACCTGTAGGTGGCCAGGGACACAGAGTGGTTGCAACTTCCAGGACCTAGGCAAGCTGTGCCATCTACTCATCAACTGCTCTGGGTGGCTTCCAACCAAGTGGTGGTCACACATGCATGGTCCACCCATCTATTTTGCCCTCAGAGTCCACCTGAGTGAAGCTGCCAGGACTCTGGGTGTTGGTCTTTTTGCCTTCATCAGTGAATGTCAAGCTGTTTTCTATTTTTTTTTCCTGAAACTGGGGATTGAACTCAGGCCCTTGTGCTTGCCAGGCAAACACTTATTCTACTGAGCTATCTCCCTGGCCCCAAGCTGTATTCTAGCAGGCTGTTCCCAGTCACATTCCCACAGCAGCCATAGAGGGGACTGAAGGAGCTGCCAACACACACCTGTCCATTTGCTGTTACCACCCCCTGGTGGTCACCACGAGGTATTTACAGTGTGCATGTTTTGCATTCTCTAGATTATAAGGTCAAACAACTTTTCTTGAGTTCACTAGCCATTTGGGTTTGCTCAGAGTCACAATGGAGAAATGATATTTTAGGGGATCTTGGAGGGTCTGTACATCTACCTCTTGACCTCACTGGAGTGAATTCCTATATGCTAGTCATAAAATGTGACCTGTATCTGGTGTTCATCTTGTCTTCCTGGGGTGCTGCCCTTGGCCTGGGCCACACTGACCCTCCCTGGCGGCTCCTCCAGCATCGCCACAGCTTCGTTCTTGTCCACCCTACAGATGGACTTGCAGATGCAGCCCAACTACCAAAGGCTGTGACAGGTACAGAGTGAAATCTTTCAATGTAAGCCAACCAAATACGTGCAGGAACATGAAATCTGCACCTGAGATGTGTTCTCAGATCAATCTCGCTGTTAGCCAAGGCTGGCTTGAGGCCCCTCCTGTGAATAGCAGCAGAGGTAGGGGCCTCCTCCCCAGGTGAGAAGCCCACCTGAACTTCCCACTGGATGCCATTAAAGTGGTAGTTTTGCAGCTCCCCTAGAGGCCTTAGCACAGTCACCGAAGGACATCCTTCCTCCATGTACTTATGCATGTGGAAGCAGCTCCAACCCAGGGGGACACTGGGTACATTCCCAGGACAGAGGCGCAGGGCCTGCTGAAAAGGCAGACCACTCTCAGCGTGTGAGACCTCTGTTCAAACTGTGGCACTACCTGCTATCTGCAGTCTCAGTCATGGCTTTGGTGTGCCAGATCCTCACAACTCAGCAGCTGATACGAAAAAAGTGCTGTGTGCAGAGGGCACAGTTCTCAGATCTGCTTCTGATGGTGACTAGAAGGCAAATTTTCTAGTAGATACATTGAAATGTGTCCTGTCTTCCGGGGGGCTGAGGGCACCTTTTCTTTTCCATCAAAGCAAGGGAGAGATCTAAAGGTTTATTTATTCCCTGGCCTCTCCTCTCTGCAGCCTTCAATTGCACCAAATCCAGGCCAGCTCAGGGGTGGAGGCAGTGCCACCCCCCGCACTGTTCAGAGGCCTCTGGATGGCACGGCAGTAGCCATGGACTCTTTGTCCCTTCAGGGAAGTGGGTGGGGGCTGGCAGAGGGCTCAGGCCCTGGGGAGTGCACCCATGGGGCACCTGCCCCAGAGGGTTCTGGTTGAGTTTTACCTACCAGTTGGCCAGGCCTGCCCAGAAGGACTGGTGAAGAATCTTTAGCACCAGTGTCCCCAGCAGGCTGCTGAATGTGATTCCTTAGCAGGGCTCCAGAGACCCAGCTTGGAAGGGCTTCCCCAAAGACTCCCTATTCTCGGTGATGGGAGATGGCCCTGCATCCTTTGGGTGCCACCCTTCAAACTTGTTCACAATCATGGATCCCAAAGACTTCCAGCCTTTGATTCCAAATGCCAGCCTGTGAGCCAAAAGGGGCCCTGCTCTCTGCCCCTTGGTGTGTGTGTGGGCTACCTCAGGTCCTGAGCAAATCAGCCAGCGCCTTCAGCTCTAGCGAGGGGTCTCATCAGCACCAGTCCTCCAGCTCTGTACCTAGACTACAGGGGGAGGTACACAGTGCCCTCCACTGTCCCTTGCATTGGCAGACACCCACTCATCTGCACAACAGTTATAATCAGAAGCCCACCCCACAGCGGATGGTGGGGGCACCAAGTTCTGCTATGACCACCCAAAATGTTATTCTATGCGACACTTCACTAGTCCTGGGGGAGTCTGAGAACAAGGACCCTGGTGGCTACCACCTGCCTGCCAACATCTGCCAGGGGCCTGAGGCTGCTATCGCTCCCTGCTCCTCCTCGCACCCCTCTTCAGGAATGGGAGGGGTTCCCGCAGGCCCTGGGCTCACCTCATCTTCCGGCAGGGTGGGGAGCGGTTCAAAGTCGTAGAAGTCCAGGTCCTTGACATCCTCCTCATAGAAGCCTGGAGCGGCTGGGTCCATGGCCTGCATGATGCGCGCTCGGTAGGGGCCTGCGCTGTAGGCTGGGTCTCCGGCCGCGTCCACGCACCCCCCTGGATGCCGTCCCTCCCGAGTTCTCTCCCCAGCAGGTCCCCTCCCCGGCTGGCCGCCGCCTCTGCGCTCGCGGGGCCGTGCTGGGCACCGCCGTCTACGCGCGCCCGGCCGCCATGGCAACGCGCCCGCCGCCTGCCGCAGTGTCGCCCCGCGGCGCGAGGGACGCCTGGGGCGGGGCCGGGGGCGGTGCCCTGAGGGCCGGCGGTCACTTCAGCGGTGCGCCGGACGCCTGGGGGCTTAGCGGGCGTTCTCAGTGACGTGGGCCTCCTGGGTGCACCCGGGCACCGCCTGCGCAGCCCGTGATCGTTCGGGGCGGAGCCACACCGGGGAGCAACAGACGCCGGGTCTGCGCCTACCTGAGTATAGTACACGGAGTGGAGGGGCTGGACCCTACCCACACAGTACAGGCTACCGCCGACCTTCTTGGGTCACGCCTCCCCCGCCCCCTGCCGTCCCCCTCCAGAGGTGGGGCTGCTGCAGTCCAGGTGGCCGCTGCTGTACCAGGGGCTGGCTAGGGGACAGGGGTCTGGGCGTTCCTCAGCACTGGGGTGAGTCTTGCTGTTAGCTGGTGGAGCAGAGAGCAGGATGCATCCTCGACAGCTAGGTAAAGGGCAGCTTGCCCTTTCCCTAGCTCCTCATCGGGCTCCCTTCCCTCAGTCCTCTCCACAGAATGAATGGGATACGCATCATCCTGCCTGCCCCCCTCCCCCCGCCCTCCTTTTAGACAGCAGACCTGTGGGTCCGATCTGCACCTCCCCCGTGTGGGTGGCTATGTCCCCGGAGACCAGCAAGGCCAGGCACACAGTAGGCGCTTAATATATGCTCCTTGCATCAAGGAGACAGGGCTGAGGCAGATCTGGAAAGCCTGCGGGTGTAGTGTGGACACGGATATTAATTTTTAATATTGCATCATTGGGCTGGATTGCAGCATTGTCCACCCCTGCCTGTTTGGTGTAAGGGACACTGAGGGCCCGGGAGAAACCAGGCAGTGAGGCTCTGCTAGGAGCAGCTGGGTGTCGGGCAGTGTCTTTGTATCCAACCAGGCAGCCTCACCTTGTTTGTACCCTGATCCTAAGGTGGGTGCCGTAGAGCATGCCTATAGTTCCAGGTACTTGGGAGGATTGCTTACATCTAAAAGTTCAAGGCTAGCCTGGAAAATACAGGGAGATCCTGTCTCAAAACAAACTAACACCCAAAGCCAAACAAAACCTGATTTAAGCCCCATTCAAACTGACTGAATCAAAAATTGGGCCGCCTTCCCCAACCCTGGAGCTCTGAGCAGTAGCCATAGTCGGGAATGGGCAGGGGCACACAGGTAGCAGGAGTTGGAGAGAAGCCGTCCCATGGTGTGTGGCTTTGGTCCGCTGTACCAGCCTGCTGTTTCTGTGAGCACCGTGTGGGGTCTGCAGCAGCCCCAGCCCCAATCTCAGGAGTGGCTATGTGACAGGCAGACACCACTCCAGCCTCTGCTTGGAGCCTGCACAGCCCAGCTGCACCCTGGGCCTCAAGTGCCCCCACGGCAGCATTGCGAAGCTGCCACCTTTGCTGAGGTGTAGATGTGGTCCTCATCAGTCCCCAGCCTGCACTCCCTTGGGGAACCTGGGCCTGGTACAGCTACAAAGGGAAGGCTCTGAGTTTT